TTCCATCTTCAACTGCGAACTACATACTACATATGTTTTCTTAAACTAACTTAGTGTTGCTCCATACAGGGGATCATTAGTGGGTCACCAAAGTTTAGCCAATGGGCAAGGGGTCACAGTTCCAATATATGGATTTCAAGTCTCCCCTTGGAGACGAAACCAATGATATCTTGACCTGATGCAATTCATTGCTCGATGGTGTACATAAGGTATCTCTCGCTCATGCACACGCTTCACCCTAAAAGGTAATTCACTTTTTCGAAAACGGCTATCAATGTGTATGTCGTGTGATGATATAATTGATGAGGCTTTGACCCCGCTTCTGAAGGCCTCCATCACACACAAAGGTCACACAGTCCATCGGCTCACTCTTCCAGGCATATTTCGACCTCATCAAGAGGTAACCAATCTAAACCTTATTAGTTTGTTTCTCTATGCACATGTAACATGGGTTTTTCCCAACCAGACCGACCTAACACATTAAGCACGATCTAGTATCAGCAAACATTGTTTGCTTAGTATAGTCCACATAGAACCACACTCCTACTCAGTTCATGTTCCACTATATAATTTTATTTGCAAGCACTCATATGGCCTTTAATGGCCACACACACTCAACACTCTTTGTAAACAACCCCTAAAGATAATAACAACGAGAAGGGCAAAACTCACTTTTACCATCAAGTTACAGAGAAACAAGGTTGCGATGTTTATACGATTCATTAATTTCAAGGCAGTGCGGTAAGGAACTCAAACTATAGTATAATTGATGATGTAGATTTGATATGTCTTTTAAGACAACATCAAAAAGTAGAATATATTTTAAGATGAGAGGTTTGTATAAGGTGCCCATCTTATACAAGTAAGGCGCACCTCTAAATTTTGCAGGTAGTTTTGATTTCAGAAATCTTATATAGCTTGAAAATTCATCTTCAACCCTACTTACAAGATTTAAATTTTCGAAAATGATGCGGATTGCACTATTTTTTGTTGAAGTGCTACTTTTTTTTCCCTTTATATCCTTACATCTCAAGATCGAGATGATCAACTGGAAGGTTTTCCAACTTCATAACACATTTTTCTACTAGATTTTGAGGCGCACCCTACTTCTATAATATAAGATTACAACTTTATATAATTTTTTTTTTTTTAAAGTAGTTCATATCTACATCATCCAAATAAAATAGATAGCGTAGAACACGTTTTTCTACTAGATTTCGTAATATAAGGTTACAACTTTATACAAACTTTTCCCTTTTAAAAATAGTTCAAATCTACATCATTCAAATAAAATAGATAGTATAGAATATTACATCCAGGTTGCAACTACATACAAACTTTGAATTGCCACTCGTGTTCTTTCTTTCTTTAAGTAATGCCTGTTGTATTCATTATTTATTTAAAAAAATGCCCCTTGTAACAAAAAAAAAAAGAGGAAAAATAATGAAAATATTCGTTTTATTGTTTGTTACTACGAAAATACCTAAAATTTTCCGTTATTATTCATAAGTATGTTTTTTAACTTGGTAATAATTTTTTTTAAAAAAGACGAAACTACCCATTTTCGGTTTTTTAAAAACTGAAATTTGGTTTTTGAAAAGCCAAAACTTTTCTCTCTAAATGTGTAGTCAGTTTCTTCTTTCTCTAAAACCAGTTCAAATTTCATATTCTTTATATATAATAAGATACTTGCTTATATTACTATTACTCAAATAGCATAATGGAAAAAGTATACGAGCCTCTTCAAAAGGTTTTTGGTATCAACTCCCAACCATTCCATGATGGGTTTTTTTTTTTAGCTTTTATTTCTCTATTTTTCTTCGTACAATCGTGAAAAATTTGAAGAGTCACATGAGTCGAATATAGAGAAATTGGGGTTTTTGCCTTCTCTAGGCGACTTGCAAACTTGCAATATCCATGGCTAATGAAATTTTAGGGTTTTAAGGTTCATCAAGTTGCATGCTGCAAAAATCATCGAAGAGGTGTTGGGTTTGGTGATAGCTAAATCACTATACCCATATTTTCTTCTAAAGATTAGGGTATTATGAGAAATAGAAAATTGACTTTCTTGGAAAGCAAGAAAGTGATATCTTTATAAGAGAGTGAATGATGCCATAATACCCACCCTTTGAGAGTTATAGGAATCGATATCCAATATGGAGTTTTGGGTATTCTCATGAGTTTTGGGTTGGTTAACTTTCACTTCTGGAGAAAGAGAAAGTCTCTCGATTAGTCTCAAGGTTATCTTTTTCGGTAGCGGTATGCAGTAGGAAAGAGCATGTTAATCGACGGTGTTGCTCGGTCTGGAGAACGGGTTTAGAAGGGAAGATCGCTGACGGTCATTTATCGATGTTTAGGGATATGTATTATCTCTTGTAACCCAAAACTGTAATCTTCATTGTGCTAGTGGATTTCTAGTTGCCAAGGTCGTAGATGTAACTGTACGGGGTGAACCACATAAATCGTGTATTGTTGTGATGTGCTTTTTATGTTTGCTTTATTTCTCTCATTCAATTTATAGTTGTATTCATCTACTTTGCATTTAGCCGATTGAGTACACGATCTTGGGTGGGATCCTGGTGTTTGAGACTCCCGGTTCTTGAAGCCTAGGGGTTCACGAGAACCCTACTAGAGGGAGGGAGAGGAATGTGAGTGGGTTTTACGGGGGGAAGAGAGAAGGGCCAAAAAAGGTGTAAAAACAAAAACTTAAAAACCATTCACACCCTCTACTAATGTGAAAGTGTAGAGGCATGCATGATAACAAAAAGGTCAATTTGTACTCAAGTTTAAATATTTGGGTATATATAATATTGATAAACAATCGGTACTTAGGCTGACGCCAATTAACTTGGACAAGTCCACAAGGAGTGAAATGCAGTTTTTCAAAAACCAAAATTTAAAAAATTATAGTTTTTACAAGGAGTGAAATGCGGTTTTTCAAAAACCAAAATTTAAAAAATTATAGTTTTTGAAAAAATAAATATAGGTAGTTTTGTCTTTTTTTTTTAAATTTGTTATGAAGTTCAAAAATGGACATATGAGTAATAACAAATAGTTTTAGATACGTTTGTAATAACGAAAAATAAAACGGATATTTACGTAATTTTCCCTTTATGATTTTTTTTTAAAACATTTTATAACTCTCTCTCATCACATTTTTTTTTTTTAAGTCTCTCAAACTTCAAAGTCCTTGATCTTTAGCCTCTCTTGCTAAGAAACATTTAATCTTGATCTCATGAGATTCAACGGCTCTCCATGAACCTTAAAGCCCTAAGCCCGGTGTCTCCTTCTCTCTCTACCACCCATGAAACTAAAAACCCTAGGCCCTTCTCTCTCTACCGATGAACATAAAAGCCCCCAGCTCTGGCCTCTGTAGACCAATTATAAGAACTACAAGCTGGCTCTCTCGACCAAGAAAAACCTAAACCTATCTCACTCTAG